AAACCCAATAATATATTGAAAGAATACAAGAAGTCAAGATAAGAAGGGAAAAACATATAAACCCAACAATATATTGATAGAAGCAACATTGTTTTTCAATTTCACTAACATAACATACAAAGGTAACTTACGGATGCTAAACTAAACTGACATCCCAAATCCACTCCATCTAATAACCAGCTAATACAAGCAATACTTAAAAAAAATTATCCAAAAATAACATGGAGTAATAGTGTTATTATATTCACTGCAAATAGAGGTCTTGGGGGCTCGTATTTCAAAAAAATACAAACATGTCAAAAAATAAATTAATCTTCTGCATTGGTGTCGTAATCTTCTACATGACGGTATAGGCGCTTCCCAAATGTGTTATGAGAAAGAGTTTGACGTTGTGCCTTAAGAACCGCAAGAAGAGATTGATAAAGCTCGATATCATCTGTCTGTATGTACAAAAGAAAAAATGTATGATAAGATTAATATGAAGAAACTATCAATGCAATTCAAATCAATGCCTTAAGATGACTTGTTTACCTTTGCAATCTTAATAGCTTTTTGGATGACATAATTCCCAAACCGATCACATGAAAGACGCAAAAAATTCTTTTCACTGCTAACGATGCACTCAACTATCAACTTCAATCCATAGTGCGACGTTTGTATGCATTTCTCGATAACATGATGTCCACTCATTTTAATAGCCAAATGTATGTAACTCTTCTTGAGGCGATCACATATTTTTTGCGTAATCTCTTCATTTTTAAGCATCAACGCTTCTTGTACATCTCGATTTCTATTTCAAGGGAGGTAATATAAAGTTTAGTCACTTAAAAAGTGTAAAGTTTATGTTATGAATATGCTAATCGGATTCATGTTTGAAATACTTACCCATAAGGATCATTAGCTAAAAATTCTGATCTCTGCAATGTTTTCAAGTAGTTCAAGTCTCTGGTCACCACCAATACAACCGAGGCAAACATTCAAAGATAAACATCCATATATTGTTGTAGCCACTTCTTTGAAGTAATGGATTGCACAGTTGTATAGGACCTGCAATAAAGTTGCAAATTGCATTGCGAATTCAGATAATATATTCTTACATGATCTATAATATTTGGAGTTAATGCAATTTACTTTTTCCCTAATAAATTATCAATTATATATACTACTAGCTAGACTATTGAATAAAATGTAGTAGAAATAAGGAGGGTGCTTTTATTATTCCTTAAATGTGTTCTATTTTGTATTTCAATCGCTAGATTATCGATATTCCTAAGTCTATTTAATACGGATGCTTGGACATTGCTCTTGTTTAATTCACAAAAAGAGATTTCAAGGTGTAAACAAACAAAGGGGGAGCGGGAATATAAATGCACAAATTTTAAAAAATTAAAAGTGAAGTGTTTGATTCACTACAACAGGGTGGTAAAGTTAGTATTTTACAAAACATTGTACTCCTATCTTTTTTTAATTGTACTTGGGAGTATAATAACATAAGAAAAGCATGTTTTGGACATTTTATACTTCGTATTATATATTTAAAAATATACTTATCGATTGTATCAGTTATATTTAAATACTATTATGCTATAGTGCTACTCTTAAATGAAAGCTAACTCATCCTCTCAATTATATTCCATTCTAAACCCCTCAAACATCTAATTCTGTAACATTCTCCAAATTAAACCAGTTCAATAATCTCTAGTTAACAATGTAACATTGGTTTAGGTATAATCTATTAATTAAAGACATTTAGGTTGAGCCAAGTACCTTATTTTTTCAGCCTTAAAGGTGTAAAAGCACTCTTGAACTACATATCTACCATACTGGCTTGTCATTAGCTCCACAAATCTCATGGATAGAATGAATGTAATAAATTGTCTCAGTCCAGTCTTCTTAAATCTCTTGATAAAGTGTTGTAGTGCACTGGACCTATTTGATATGAAAACAATGAAGTGATATAAACTGATTAGTAAACGTAAAACAATCAATACTAATAATACTACGTATTAAACATTCTATATTATTACTAAAATAAGAAACTCATACACATTACATAACGATAAGAAAATATGGATACTTAATATACTTACAGTTTACCCAAAAAAAAAGAAAATATGGATACTATAGTACGTCAATTCAAAATATCATTGTAACTAAATTAAAGGTTAATTAAGTGGAATATCACAATAGTCATGCATTAAGTAATCATTATATATTGTGAATATATATTTACAATGATTGTGTATCAAAGAAATAACTCACCTTCTTGTCCATTTTTATTTTTGAAAAATTCTATTTGTAAACAAAAATTGTAAAGTTTTTTGTTTACATCCTCTAATTGTCTGTATACATACATGAGCAGATCGCTTAGAAAAAGGTAGTAATTGTCGATGTACACAGACAAGTCTACAAAAAGTGTATATCTTTTGACCTTTTGTCTACACCAGCAATAGTTGTTTAATTATTTCTATCATATGTTTGTAATTATTGAAAAAAGAAACAAAAATTGTAGATAAAAATGTGAATTTAGTACGGAGTACTTGATAAAAATGAGAAGTGTAGATAAATAGCTCCTTGTTTGATATCAGATTGAAAAAGATGGTCTCTAGCTGCTTGGAATCACAAAAATCAAGAAGTCTATGGATGAGACAATGGCCATATTGGTCTATTATCACCTCAAATATCCCTCTAATGATCCCATCAAGAACTTCTTGCCTATTCATTGGAGTTCCATACTTAACCAGATTTTGAAGTTCCAATGACCCTTCTTGTGTTTTAGCCATATGAACAAACACATTCCTTGCACCATTCATTCTTGAAAAGCAATCATCATCATATTCAGTATAGTATGAATAATAATCCCGATACCCATTATTATCCAACAAGTTGTATGAACAATCACATGAGCTTCCAGCGAACTGAGTCCAACTATTCTTTTCTGGAAATATAAAAAGAAAGAATGGCTGAAATATTACATATGGACTTTGAGTGGACAAAAATATGACCACTTTAGACTTGGACAAAAATGTGACCTTTTTCTAAAACCCAGGCCCAATCCATCACTCTCTTCTCTGTGCTAACTTCATCGCCCAAACATCATCTTCTCTGCGTGTTACTTCATCGCCCAAACACGGATGAACTCAACCTTCCTTCATTGTCCTAGCGGCGTCAAACTCAGACGCCCTCCTCCGAGCAGCAAATCGTCCCCGTCGTTCTCGCACAGGTCTTACCGCCGTCGCCCTCCGTGGACAGAGGAACGAAGCATCTCCGCCGTCCTCAAACTGGTTTTCGCTGCCATCCTGGTCGCCGCTATCCTCTCATTCCGAAATTCGTCTCTTTCTTCTCTTTCTGTTGGTGGCGTTGAATATCACCAGATCTAAAGTCGATCTAACGACGACGGTTGTGAAGGAGATAGATCCTTTGTGGAAGCGGCGGCTAGGTTTCGGCCATGCGGCGGTGGTGTCGAGGGGAAATGGTGTCGGGTCGGGGTTAGATCGGAGTTGGGAAGGGTTGGATCGGGGGCTGGTCGGGCTGGTCGGAGCTGGAGCAGGGTAGGTGGCTGAGGCGGGTCAGGGGGCGAGTCAGGTGGTGGGTCGGGATCTGGGCAGGGGCGTGGGGATGGGGAGGGGTAGGGGCAGTAGCTGGTTTGGGCACTGGATGAAGCGGTGGGTGGCTATGATTGGCGGTGCCGGCGGTGTCGGCTGTCACTGAACGGTGGTGGCGTCACTTTGACAGCGTTATTGTGGCAACGTCACTATGGCGGCGTCACTGTGGCGGCGTCACTATGACGGTGTCACTGTGGTGGTGGTGGTGGCGGTGGTGTAATTGGCGTGAAAAATTTGTCGATGACGGTGTCACCGTGACATAATTTTTTTTGCAGTGACATCATGTTTTTTATTCCACATATATGACCTTGTTAATCACTTTTTTGTCAATTTTAAAAGTACTCACATTTTTGGAAAACCAATTTAATTTAGTAATATTAAGGGCATAACCCCATATAAAAAACTACGCAAATAAATAAATGAAAAGAACACACTTGTTTTTTTGGCAAAATTGTCAAATAACGAAATTTATATTACCTTGAGATTTAGGGTCCTGTATTATTTTCCTCCATTCTTCCAGTCCCTTTTCTAAAGATGATCAACCCAGAGTCGAGACTCGTAGCACTAGGCAGTTGACAATGGATGAGAGAAGCCATATGTGTTTAATTTCGAAAAGTTAAGAGTGATGTAAATTAAGTTGTGGAGATAATTAATCGCAGGAGGTTGATTCCTAGCTATATATATATATATATATATATATAAGGTTGGGTTCTAATGAGAAGACATCTTAACGTGAGAAGTGAGAAGTTACACATTTACCTATTTCTTATTAGAACCCGACCCTATATATATATATATATATATATATATATATATATATATATATATATATATATATATATATATATAGGGTTGGGTTCTAATGAGAAGACATCTTAACGTGAGAAGTGAGAAGTTACACATTTACCTATTTCTGATGCACTTTTTTGCTAATGTGATGCACTTTTTGCGACGGCAGAAAAGTTCCGATTAATTACGGAAATGCCACCGTGTCTAGCATCACTTTTTAAATATTTTTTGCACTTTCCCGTGCACTTTTTTGCTAATCTGATGCACAGATTTTAAATTGAACGCACCAGATGCATTCTCACTTCTTACGATAATCACTCTTCTCATTTGATCCTTATTCTATATATATATATATATAGGCACATCAAAGGTTAGTTAGTTTTGTTTTTTCCTAATGCTATTCGTATTTATTGTTTCCTAATCATTGATTATTTGGGAATCACTGAACTTTCCTTTACATTATAGGAGTATTACGTTTGTTTGTTTGAGATCATGTCATCAATTTGTAGTGTTTGTTTCATGCTCCCTATAGAAAAATGCTTCGTGTACACGGTATAAAGGATTTATTTTCAACCCATTTACTCCTCACTTCATCCTTTTTCTCCCATCACCGAGCTACTCCCTGCACGCAGTAAGATTCTCCGCCCATTCTTCTTCTCCCTTTTTCTTTTCTCTCATTCTCGTGTAACTCTCCTCCTCCAAATCCCTACTTTTACACCTAACTATCACCCAGCTACTCCTTTCTGCGCAGTAAGCTCTCCCCCTTTTCTTTTCATTTTTATGCAAATCTACTTATCAAAATCCATGTTTTTACACACAACCTCTCATCCTCTAGACAACTCACTTCTTCATCTCTTCTTTCTAGTGTCTGCACAATATCCCCTTCTCTCTTTTAATTTAGCTATCATAAACAACAAAACGATGAATTATTCTCTCTATGATGGGTCCGGGAAAAGCGTCGCATAAGAGGAAGAGGGTGGCACCCGCGGAGAATCGAAGACTCGGAAATTGAAGAATCAAAGAGGTGGAAGGGGTGTAAATCAGAAGTGGAGCAAATCAGGGTAGTCTTTGCGAGCAGAAGCTATCGGAGACATATGGGCGTAATTGCGGTAATCTATTCCTATTTTTGCTTATGCATTTTAGGGGATTTTAATTTATTTTTTTCAGAATTTATGTATAATATGTATGCTGTAACATTGAATGATTGCATTTTTGTGAAGATCGTAAGAGATTGTGATGCTAGTTATTAGTTTTTTATTCCCACTACTCTATTTTATTTGATGTCCATAACATGTTTGTTGAAATGTCTCAATGAAATTTTTGTTCATATTCAAGACTTTTTCTCTCCTTTTTGGTTAATGGGTTTTAGATCCTATTTTTCTATTTGCCCAATTCAAATTATGATATAGTAATTTTTATTGACTATATGACATCAGTATTATGAATTTGGTCTTTTTAAATTGCACAGACATTTCTTTTGTGTTTGAATTTAGTTTAGGTAGCTGATGTATCTAATTTTCAAATATGTGATTTGCAGCAACTAGAAATTCAATTGATGATCCAAGACACTTGCTCTTGAGGAACAATCAAGTATTGGAGTTTGCACACTTTGACCATCGAGAATTTATTTTGAATTTTGTTTGAAAATGATGACTCTATTTGTTCATTTATTTGGACAAGGCATGAGATAAAACAAATGATGGCAGACAAGAATGAGAGCTTCAAAGCAAAGGATAACAAAGGATTTATGCTTGTAATTACTTATATTGTAAAGTTAAAGTTTTTACAATTAGAATGATATTGTATTTGGAGTGATTTATGTTCTCAAAGATGTTCTTAAAGTTTTTACATTTGGAATGATATTGTATTTGGAATGATATTGAATTATGAAAGGTGAATTAGTAATCTTACTCTCATTATGGATGTAAATAATGCAAAATATATGTGTATTTGTATCCAGACACTACATATCATGTTCACAAACAACTTCACTTACCACATAAGCCCATTTCTATGGCTATTGTATGTGACTGACACATTTGTCTGGTTGACAAACAATTCTACTTAAAACATTAACCCATTCTAGTAACTATTGTTTGTGACCAGACATGTAATATCAAATTCATAAGCATTTCACTTAGAACAGTAGCTCCTTCCAGTGGATATTTTCTGTAATCGAACACTTCAATTTGGTTCACAGACAATTGTACTTCGAACATTAGCCCATTCTAGTGACTATTGTTTGTGACCAATAATCTACTCCTTATTCTTATGTTTATATAGGGTATTTTTTCGGTTTTAATAAATTATGTATTGTGATGTTTAATTCTTGACTAATTTGTCTCATTGATATAGGTTCGGGAATAAACCTCAACATAGTCCAACTACTATATTTCATTTGTATGCCCACTACATGTTTGTTGAAATGTTTCAATGATTTTTTTTTCATAACTAAGATGTTTTTTCTTCTTCTTTTCTGTTAATGTGCACTTATGTTAAATAGGAATTACATTTTTTTATTTTTTATATTTGCAGTTTAAATTATGCTATATATTCATTGTTTGAACTCAAGAATTATTTTCTTCTCCTTGTTCTGTTGGTGTGCTTAATAGTGTTTACAACTTCATCTAAACTCTTCATCTAACAAATAAAATACATGAACAGACAATGTTTTAATCGCACACAGACAAAATATATGAATACACAGACAACAATTATTATCTATGTACAGACAAAACAAACGAACCGACAATGTTTTAATCTTGCACAGACAATATAAACAATGACAAATGATATTTGAATTACACAGACAAAATAAGGAAACACATAGACAATTGTCTGTGTCCAACACAAAATATCCGAGTTCATTTTCATAACACAAAACATACATTGTAGACATTAGCAACTTCAATTACACTATCATTCTAAACACAAGAACATTAACTTTACAATATAGCTAGTTACAAGAATAAAATATTTAGTTATCTTGTATTCTAAATCTCTCATTCTTGACTTCCTCAATCCTTTTTTGTCATCATTCGGTTTATCAAACACATGTTTCGAAGGTTCATTATCCCCGCCATGCAAAGAGCATAAATAGTTCCTGTCAAGAAAATAAAAATCATTACAACTATTAAACCTGAATGTGCATCCATTTAGGCTTGAATGTGCCGCCTAAAACATAATAAAGTTGTATTTAAAGCTATATAAGCCTAAAGAACTTGCATAAGAACAGACCCAATTCCATTCATTTGCATACATTTTACAACATATTTGCAACTAAGTCAATTAAGTCAAAAGCCATATATACAAAGCCAACAAATTCCGGCAACAAAAAAGTTAGGAGCCATCAAAACTACGAAATCATATGCAATACAAACTGATTTCTCTAGAATATAGAATGAAATAAAAAAAAAAACTCATGAAAACAAATAAATCACCAAAAATAGAATTGATTATTACCTCAATAATATCTAAAACCCATGAAACATACAAAAATAATCAGAAAAAGGAGAAAGAACACATAAAATTCGTGGTTTTATTAAAAGAGTTTATTGAAACATTTTAACAAACACCTTATAGACATAAAAGTTAAATATAATCATTGAATAAAAAATTAAATTATAACAAATCCATACTGATATAACAATGTAATAAGCATTCATCAACATCATAGCAACATATATTGTATACAAAATTGAAAAAATGGAAAAAATATAACCCTAAATGCAAAAAAAAAAAAAACTGCAATGAATCATTACCTCAAGATCTTGAGAGAAAAATACTGGTAAAAAACGGAAAGGGAAACGAATGAACTGGAGGATGACAATTTATGTCAAAATATGGATTTGAAAGGGAGTTGCAGAAGAATGGAACGAATCAAGAATGGGAGAAGAAGAGAGGCGGTCCGGGGGAAGAACGTAAGAATGAGAGGGAGTAGATAGGTGGCCGTGGGGGGAGAGAAAAGGATACGGAGGATGGGGTAAATGATGGGGTAAATGAGTTGGGGAAAATACCTTTTATAGCGTGTACACGGGTGTGTAACCCGCCGTGTACATGAAGCATTTTTCCTCCCTATATACCCGGGTCAAATTATGGATCAGACGCTACTTTTTCCAATCATTATTTAATTATAATTAGTATAAAATCTTTAATCCAAAATAAGTTTTTTGTTTTTAAGCTTTGTATTAGGGATGACAACAGAGCGGATCGGGGACAATTTTACCTATAATCATAACCACGGGTAACCGCTTTATAAATAAGTCAATGATATTTTAATATAAAAATAATATTTTAAAAGGCGAAAAATGGCATCACCTAGACGACTCTAGATTAAGAGACCACTTAAAAGTTTCGTATATCTATAAGATGAGAAAGAAGACAATCTAAATTAAATTGAATCTAAAAATACTTGATATGAAAAATAATTAATTAGGAAAAAAATCTAATAATAATCAAACAAGACTATTAAAATCTATTATGAACTTCCATTCATATAGTATAGTGAGTATATCTATTATCCATAGTAATTGCGGAAAAGTGTAGTGAAAATATAGCAAAGAATAAATGGGGCGGGTACGGGGCAGTTAATGGGACAGGCATGTATAAAACCGTAACCGCCCCATTACCCGTAAAAATAAAACGGGTATTCCATGCCCCATACCCGTTACCCGGTCAATGCGGGTTTCCCCGTTTTGACGGGGGCAGTTCAATGCTGGTATTCGTCGGGTCGGTCACAATTGTCATCCCTATTTGTAATATATATGCATTGTTTTCTTTTACGCCTATGTTATTTGGAAATCATTACCATTTAAAAAATAAATATTATTTACATAACTCTGCTTGAAACTTTTTAATTCGCTGTTATATAACTTCTTGAATTTGAGCTAGGCGAACATATGCTAGGGATAAAATGTCATAAAATTGATCACTCACAAATTTTGAAATATGCTTTCACACTCTTCTGGAAAATATAAGAAAAAATAACAATTATTTTTAAGAGTTTAATTATCTGGGCGAACATATGGATAACTATTTTATTGGAGGAAAAAAATATAAACAAACTTGATGCGGTGTAGACCTAACTTGATTAGGCTTGACTAATTTTAAACAAATCAAATTAAATTAGATCCGACCAAATTAGAAAATATAATTAGAAATCTCCAATATAATCCATAGAAGTGTAGAATAGAAGTACAAAACAAACTGTATCCATTTATTTTCACCCTTCAAACTAATACTCACTCCGTCGCGTTTTACCCGTCTTACTTTTCTTTTTGGGTTGTCGCAAAATAAGTGTCAAAATTCTTTTTTTGGAAAGAAATATGTGATATATAGCACTTCACTTTATTATAGTTGAATCTCAACCACAATTTTTACCTTTTCAACCATTTTATGAAGAGAGAATTACCTAAATAGGAGTAAAAAAGTTTTGAAATTCCAAAATAGAAGTATCATATTTTTTATTACTTGAATAGGAGTAAATTTCTGTCAAGTTTGGCATTACTAGGCTTTAAAACATGACATTTTTTCCAAACTTGGCAGATTACTCCTATTCAAGGAATAAAAAACACGATACTCCTATTTTGGAATTTCAAAACGTTTTTGCTCCTATTTAGAGCAATTTCTATTTTATGAATAATTGTGTCAAACCAATGTAGGACACATAAAATGGAATGGAGATAGTAAAATGTCTAGCTACTCTAATCTTATAATATGACGGGTGCTAAAGAATCATTTCTCAAAAATCTCATAATTAGTCAAACTATGTGTGATGGATAGTGTATTCGAGGGTAGCTTATCTGAGGGTTATTGCGGGGAATAACTAGAGAGAAGTCAGAGCAATAAGTAAGAGAGAGAAAGTGTATTCGAATATAGAAACTTGTTATGCTTTACAATGGAAATTGGCTGCTATTTATAGCAGCAAAAAATGCTAGGCAGGGACAGGTGTCAAACATCCGACGACCGAGGGTCGCCTCAATCGGGGTGGCACCGGCATTTGCATGTGGCCGCATTAAATGCGGTGGTTGGACACGACGTTTGTACTTGGTACGGTGATTTGGCGCATGTGGAGAGGAGATTCTGTCGAGGAGGATGCCTTCGGTTGTACATGTTATGCCGAAGGCTCTTCGTACCGGGGGCCTCCGTGTGCCGAAGGCTGTAAGTGCCGAAGGCTTGGTTTTCAAGCCATGTTCTCCTGTGATGTTTTTGGACTCGGTTTCATGAATGTGAAGCCTTCGGGCATGGTGCCAAAGGCACCCCCTTGTGTATTACAGGCTGCCTGGTGTCCGGTTCGCTGGGCTTGGCCCATTTGGGCCTGTTGGGGCTGATCGTTGTAGTGGAAGTATGTGGGCCGGGGGTCCCTGGGCCATATACTCCATCAATGTGTTATGTGTTTTGTAATCTTAGGTGATGTCATGGATATCAAGGGGGTAGGTGTTTCTTTTCCATACATTAGAGACTTAGAGTTGCAAAGTGTCAACGAATGGATAGATGAAAATAACTTAAGCTCTAGATCGGTAAAAAATGGATACATTCCCGAAAAACACACCAATCCTATTTTGAAATTTCAAAACTAATTTGCTCCTATTTGAAGTAGTTCTCATGGAAACCGCCACCTGAACTCGTCTATTTGAAGTGCCTCCAGAGTTCCAGGTTGATTTTTTGATAAAATTTTGTGAACATACTTTTCATGTAATACAAATTATGTGCACAAAATTTCATCTTAAAATTCAAACCGAAAAACCGGTTAAATAAATCATCTAAAAACATTGTGCTAAAATATATAAAAATGCGGTGTTTTTCAATAATTTACTTAACAGACTTTATGATTGAATTTTGAGCTGATCGTAATTTTGTGAAAATAATTTAAACTTTATGAAAAATATACTAATTAAAAAAATCATAAAAAAAATTCTAGTCGAA